GAAGTATGCTGCGCTAGGGTGAAGTATGCTGCGCTAGGATGAAGTATGCTGCGCTAGGGTGAAGTATGCTGCGCTAGGGTGAAGTATGCTGCGCTAGGGTGAAGTATGCTGCGTTAGGGTGAAGTATGCTGCGCTAGGGTGAAGTATGCTGCGTTAGGGTGAAGTATGCTGCGCTAGGGTGAAGTATGCTGCGCTAGGGTGAAGCATGCTGCGTTAGGGTGAAGTATGCTGCGCTAGAGTGAAGTATGCTGCGCTAGGGTGAAGTATGCTGCGCTAGGGTGAAGTATGCTGCGCTAGGGTGAAGTATGCTGTGTTAGCGTGAAGTATGCTGCGCTAGGGTGAAGTATGCTGCGTTAGGGTGAAGTATGCTGCGCTAGGGGTGAAGTATGCTGCGCTAGGGTGAAGTATCCTGCGCTAGGGTGAAGTATGCTGCGCTAGGGTGAAGTATGCTGCGCTAGGGTGAAGTATGCTGCGCTAGGGTGAAGTATGCTGCGCTAGGGGTAAAGTATGCTGCGCTAGGGTGAAGTATGCTGCGCTAGGGTGAAGTATGCTGCGCTAGGGGTAAAGTATGCTGCGCTAGGAAGAAGTCTTGAGTGACTTCCAAACCCTGTCTCCATGTTCGCAAAGTTAGTGGCGTGTAAGTAATTACCTGGTTGATACCTGCTTGATGGGGTTCTGGGAGTTCTTCTACTGCCCAAGCCCGGCCCAGGCCCACATACCCACCACAGCCCGGTTGGTCCGGCACTTCTCTTAGAAAACAGTCCAGTTTTCTCTTGAAGATGTCCACAGTTGTTCCGGCAATATTTATTATAGTCGCCGGAATTTCTTATAGTCGGCTAACTATAGTCTTATAGTTATCTGACTACTCTTGTATATATCTCAAAAAAAAAATAAAAAAATAAGGTTATTCAATATGGGATTCACAAGGCCTGCCCTCAAGGTGCCCCTCAAAGACCTGGACATCAACACCAATACTTGGAAGTCGTGGCTCAAGACCGTTATTGCGAGAAAACGTTAAGAAACGTCATTCGACGTCAAGAAATTGGCGTACTAAAGAGCCTTCTCCTAATCTACCAGAGGACCCCCTAACAGAAAACGGAACTTTAGGCCAATTTCAGGGGAGACGCTATCATTTTCTAGTACGACAGGCTGTGCCTTTATGTATAATGTACGTCAAAGGTCGACTTGTTATTAGGAGGACGGGGTCACGAACGAGTGAAGTCGAAATTTGTTATCAACCCGAAAATCAGGGGCCAGATTCACGAAGCAGTTACGCAAGCACTTACGAACGAGTACATCTTTCCTCAATCTTTGAAGGCTTTGGTTACATTTATTAAACAGTTTACAAGCATGGAAACTTTCCAATCAACTGTTGTTATTGTTATAAACAGCCTCCTGGTGCTTCGGAGCTCATTAACTGTTTAATAATTGTAAACAAAGCCGCCAAAGATTGAGAAAAGATGTACAGGTTCGTAAATGCTTGCGTAACTGCTTCGTGAATCTGGCCCCAGGACATTCTAGGAGGTGTTCTTGGCCTGTGGTTAACTGTGATGTTTAGGGCTGTAATTAGGTTGATCTGGTTCACTCCAGACTGTGTACTCACCTAATTGTGCTTGCTGGGGTTGAGCTTTGGCTCTTTGATCCCGCCTTTCCAGCCATCGGTTGTTTATAACAATGACTCCTGTCCCATTTCCCTATCATACCTAGTTTTAAAAGTATGAATAGTATTTGCTTCCACAACCTGTTCCCCAAGTGCATTCCATTTTTCTACTACTCTCACGCTAAAAGAAAACTTCCTAACATCTCTGTGACTCATCTGAGTTTCCAGTTTCCACCCATGTCCCCTCGTTCTGTTATTATTACGTGTGAACATTTCATCTATTTCCACTTTGTCAATTCCCCTGAGTATTTTATATGTCCCTATCATATCTTCTCTCTCCCTTCTTTTCTCTAGTGTCGTAAGGTTCAGTTCCTTCAGACGCTCTTCATATCCCATCCCTCGTAACTCTGGGACAAGTGTGTGTGTGTTTGTGTTTGTGTGTGTTTGTGTGTGTGTGTGTGTGTGTGTGTGTGTGTGTGTGTGTGTGTGTGTGTGTGTGTGTGTGTGTGTGTGTGTGTGTGTGTGTGTGTGTGTGTGTGTGTGTGTGTGTGTGTGTGTGTGTGTGTGTGTGTGTGTGTGTGTGTGTGTGTGTGTGTGTGTGTGTGTGTGTGTGTGTGTGTGTGTGTGTGTGTGTGTGTGTGTGTGTGTGTGTGTGTGTGTGTGTGTGTGTGTGTGTGTGTGTGTGTGTGTGTGTGTGTGTGTGTGTGTGTGTGTGTGTGTGTGTGTGTGTGTGTGTGTGTGTGTGTGTGTGTGTATGTGTTTGTGTGTGTGTGTGTGTGTGTGTGTGTGTGTGTGTGTGTGTGTGTGTGTGTGTATGTGTTTGTGTGTGTGTGTGTGTGTGTGTGTGTGTGTGTATGTGTTTGTGTGTGTGTGTGTGTGTGTGTGTGTGTGTGTATGTGTGTTGTGTGTGTGTGTGTGTGTGTGTGTGTGTGTGTATGTGTTTGTGTGTGTGTGTGTGTGTGTGTGTGTGTGTGTGTGTATGTGTGTTGTGTGTGTGTGTGTGTGTGTGTGTGTGTGTGTGTGTGTGTGTGTGTGTGTGTGTGTGTGTGTGTGTGTGTGTGTGTGTGTGTGTGTGTGTGTGTCTGGCATGTTGGGATCTTATGGTATATGTTTCCTCTGACATGCGCTACACTTTCCTTCTGTCTCCTACACTATCCTTCTCCTTCTCTGTCTCCTTCATCTGTACGAAACAATTTATATTCCTTAACCAGAACTTTCTCTCAGAAGTTCCCTGGAGTCAAGATCTAATATTTACAAACACAACAAAAGAACACTCTTGGGACCCAGAAAACGAAGCAACAGTTCAACAAAAGACACAGAGCGAGGGTGAGTCACTTTCCCATAACTTCTACATAAAACTGAGTAAGTGACTCACAATATTCAACCTGATATTTACGAAAGAAAATATTAAAAGCTGTCCAATGGATTCGAACTGGCGTCATTGGACTCCCGAATGCATGTGCCTGAGGGGTGGCAAAGGCACTAGAGCCTGGCCACAATGGAGCTGAGAGAGCCAGGCCACAGTAGAGCTGGGAGAGCCTGGCCACAGTAGAGCTGAGAGAGCCAGACCACAATAGAGCTGAGAAAGCCTGACCACAATAGAGCTGGGAGAGCCTGGCCACAGTAGAGCTGAGAGAGCCTGGCCACAATAGAGCTGAGAGAGCCTGACCACAATAGAGCTGAGAGAGCCCGGCTACAATAAAGATCAACACGAAGTAAGAGTTTTTGGCGCCAACTGAGAGCTGAAAAAGAGTCAAAACAAACTCTAGCTCTTTACATTAGGAACAATACAGTGGTGCGGACGTACGAGTAGCATCCTAAAAATAGCAAATTTGGTGGAAAGTATTTTGTAATATTTATTAATTAAATAATA